AAAGACTAAGTTAGTTTCTTTGGGTTTGGATTAAGTGGCAGGGCCTCACCTAGGTTTACCGGAAAAGTTCACTTAAAATCGAAGAACTGTGGGGATTTTATAGGCTGGAAAGCATTGTGAGGGCCCAAGGGAGGTGACACCCCAAATCTAGGCCGTCCATATCTGCATTGAGCCCATCTGGGTCACATGTGACCTGCATGGGTTGCACGCGGCCAAGTCAAACTCGCTTCGAGATGTATGCCACAACCAATGGGTGTTTCTTGCCATCTGGCCCCACATGTCCGCATGTGTCTTTTAGAGATGTTGAGGGTGTTTTTAAATCTGTATTTTTAAATGAGAGATATCAATGGTCCGTTACAGAAGTATTTTTTATTTATCTTATTATTTACATGGGTCCATCAATATGTAATTAGGAGGCTAATGTTGCAGAGGTTTGGCTAAAGCAGAATTGACACCTATTTTAGAGTGTTTTCTTGGGTGACCTTGCACATTTCTAAGCCTAATTAAGAAGGTTTAAGGGGTTTTAGACCTAATTTGGTTCGTTTATGTGTAACTAGAAGTTTAACTAAGTGAGTTCAATTAGATGGGTTTAGGCTTAATTAACTAGGGTTTTGTTAAACGAAAAGTGGCCTATAGGGTGTAGGGACTACGGGGTATAATACACCATGGTGTATCACAATAAGCTTCTTTGGGTAGCTTAGGATAGGAAAAGGGGACCTTGGTGAGCCAAAGGCCAGGATTCCGGTTTGGGACAAGCTTGGGAAGGGTCTAAGTCAGGTCCCTGCAGTTTCTGGGATTTCAATTTCTTGGAATTGCCTTAGCTAAGAAAAAGGGTCCGTACAAGAACGAACTCTTTATTCAATTAACATGCACAAGACCTGATCCTCACGTAAAGGAAACCAGTCTCCCATATCAACTTATTTAAATCTTCAACTCATCGTATAATGGTAAATCTTTATGGTTGATCTAACACATATATAATGTTTCCAATATTCTCCTATAAAATTAAAACTAAAGACAAAGGCCCTAATATTCTCCTTAATACTAAATTGGTCCTAGAGGGCAAAATAATTCGATTTGGTGGCTTCGGCTGCCCCCACCGGCCCGGCCCATACAGCATATGCGAGAGTTAGTGATGACTATCAACATGTAATCCCAAGAAAAACAATAATAAAGGCAGAGGAAGATTGACCCCATTAGCCAAAACGACTTGTGGCTATATGATGTGCACTCCAAATCAGTACTCCTACACAGTAGACACTACATTGAGATTGGTTGCGCAATATTCAAACTTTGTAAGTGTTTTTTTTTAAAAAAAAACTTTTAACAATAATTTATTGAGAATATGAAAGTGATACAAACAGTTGGCCATGAAGGACAAAAAAATAAAAGTAAAGAAACAAAGAAAAAACAGAAAAGAAAACATAAAGAAACAAAAGAAAAATAAAGAAACAAATATTACAAGTTCATAAGAGCTTTAGCTAGCGCATCTGCAAGGGAAATTCCTTTCGCTGTTCACATGCAAAAAGACAACTTGGTTACAATTAAGATGAGAGAGGTCCTCAGCCATCACCCCTGCTCATCTCCAAGGAGTGAAATTGGGGTCTAAGCACCATTTAATCACATTAGAGGAATCACCTTCAGTAATCAAGTTGAGGACATGACCATCAATATTCATCACTCAAAATTTGAGACCAAGTAGGTCAGCTTCAATAGCCTGACAAGGTGGGAATAGTCCTTGTATTGTCCATATAATATGTCACCTATCATCCCTTAAGGTTTCTCCATAACTTGCCACCGATCCATTATTCCTTACACTCCCATCAAAATTGAGTTTGACCCACAAGTAAGGTGGGGCTTCCACACTGCTACTTTTCTTATGTCACACCTTTTCATCAATAGTAGATGGCCATCAAAGTTAGTCTGGGAATGCTCGTTAAGGACATCTTTGAAACCCTCAAAGGCCTTTGCCCAATGAATGATTGATCTCTTTGATGGTTTGTTTAATTAAATCATTAGTCCTTATTCTGTCCTAAAAATTTCTGGAATTTCTTTCTCTCCAAATCGCCAAAGAATTGTTGCCACAGTTATCTTCCACAAATCAACCCTTGCTTAGAGAAAGGCATGGAGATTAGTTGTACAAACATCTACGAGACTGTCTCACGCATAATCCAGACACATTATTTTATGAATTAACAGAAAAGTCATGGTGTAAAAATAAATGGTCATTGGTTTCAACAACCTTTTTGCATGCAAGAATTTTTGCTCTTTTCCTTAGCTGTTCTATGGGGAATCCTAAAGGCCCATGCTCATGATATAGTAGAAGTAACATTGGAGTATCTATCTTGGCAGATGACCTCGTGTAAAAGATTCAACTTTCTAGTCCCACCCGGATCAACTCCCAAACAATCCTGTCTTCCCTTTCTGGGAAATAAAAATGACTGTGCAGAAGCTGAAGTAGTTCTGTAAACTTTCGTGCCATCTCCTAATTGACTCTTTTATATCTTAATTTAATGTCTCACACCACATTTCATCCCTCCCCAGTCACCACTTCTTTGACTAGGCAAGTTTTATGCACTGCAAGTCTATACATTTATGGGAATAAGGTCTATAAAGATTGCTATCCTATCCATTTGGTCAACTAGACCTTAGTTTGGTTGCCATCACCAATCAGCATCTTCGCATAAGACATGAATAATGGTCTCACTTTTTCTATGCCTCCACACTACTGAAGTGCCACCACCGTTCATCCTAGTGAGAAAACCAAAACCATCTGTTCAACATTTATTGAAGAAAATCATCTTCCACAAATGTTGCCTTCCAGTGGCTAATCTCCACCACCACGTAACCGTTAAAGCTTCATTGACCAATTTAAGCCTTCTAACACGCAAAACCCCATCCTTCTTCAGCAGGCACACTGCCCCCCGCTTGAGCAAATGATACTTCTTTTTTGGCCATTCACTCCAAGGGACTTCCTCATCAAAGTTTCTAATTTCTGGATAATGGCCCTCAGTGTTTTGTAAAGGGAGAGATAGTAAACAGGGGTTAGATAAGGTTGCCTTATCAACATGATTCTGCCCCCCAGTGATATATATCTCGTCTTCCAACCATCTAGCTTAGTATGGAATCGTTCAATGATAGGATCCCACGAAGCAAGACTTAAGATGTTATCCACTAACGGAAATCCCAGAGATCTAAGTAGTAGGTTGTCAAAACCACATCCCATCCACGAGGCCCATTCCCAGACTTTCAAGTCAGTACATTTGATGTTCATGAGCTTAGTTTTTCTAAGGTTGATATCTGCCCCTGAGATAATTTGATAATACTTGAAAAACTACCACAAATGTTTCACTTATTCAAAAGAAGCATTCAAAAAAATTATGGTGTCATCAGCATATCACCAATGTAAAACAATAGGGCCGTTACTAGAAGCCGGTAACCTTCAAGCATGCTAATGTTAACCGCCCCATCAAGCATCAAAGGAAAAAACTCCCCAACTAATGTATATATAAAATGTGACAATGGATCTCCTCACCTGAGGCCTCTAGTTGCCCTAGAGTACCCCATTGCCTTGCCATTAATTCATGCAGATAGATGGGCAAAAAAAAGACATCCCTTGAATCCACTTATGCCATCAGACTCCAAAGCCCATGAGGGTAAGATCTGATCTAGGCAGTCCCATTCCACCTTATCATATGCTCTTTTGAAGTCCACCTTACACTTCAATCCTATGGTCCCTTGAAGATTAGTGCAATGGATCATTTCCTGTGCTAGAATAATACTATCCATGATTTGGTAATCTTTAATAAAGGCAGGTTAGGCCAGTCACAATCTCATGGGTGACCTTTTTCAATCAGTTAGCCAGAACCTTGGCCAAAATGTTATAAACCGATAATAGCTTTATGGGCCTGATGTCTTGAAGTGTTTGGATACTTTGTTTTTTGAGAATAAGTGTGATAAAAGTTGAGTTGATGTCTTTGTTAACCACTATCCCCCAATAAATTTCTGAGAAGAAAGCTAGTAAGTCACTTTTAACGACCTCTGAAAACTCCCGAAAGAAGGCCATATGGAAGCTATCAGGACCAGGGGCTTTGTCTTTTGGGAGTGGTAGAATGGCATCTCTGATCTCTTCCTAATAAAATTCCTTCGATTGAACTTAAGTGTAGGCTCCAACTCAAAACTCTTCTTAAAATAAGTAACAATTACCTCCTTTGCTTGCACTTCATCTTCCCCAATCCTTGGTATGGAAATACTCTTAATGCTGTTAAATCTTCTCCTAGAATTCACAATGGTTTGAAAGTATTTTGTATTATTGCTACCCTCTCCAAGACACTTTGATCTCAATCTTTGGTACCACTACAGTTCTTCCATCCTAAGTAGGTCCTCGATCCACATCTTCAACTTTTCTCTTTTAGTTTTCTGCTCCCTACTTAAACTCCCATTCTATTGCTCCTGATTATTAGAGGTAAATTCATTTCATTTGAAACTTGTCTCAATTTTGTTGAGAAATTTCTAAACCTCTATTTTCCCCATTCTCTTCAACTTGTGTGCAACAATGTGATCGGACCAGCATGTGACCTGGATGTTCTGCCATCCATTGATAATTTCGTATCTAAGAGATTTTATCTGCTAACCACATGAGTTCAAATCTAAATGGTGAGGGTCCAAAGCCACCCCCTTCTGTAACAAGCAAAATAGGCTCATCGTTAGAGCTCCATTGCGGTAGTGTTTTCAAGATTGCTTTAGGGAATTTCATCTCCCAGCTCGTTATGATTAATTCTCAAACTAATTTTGACATTGTGGTGCTATAAATGAGTTATTTGACGAAGGGTAAGAAGCCCCCCAAAAGATTGAAATCATGCAACTCATTACTTTGAATAAAAATTTTATATTTGTTCATGACCGAATTAATTCTTGTTATGTGTTTGTTTCTTGGGGCCATCTGACCTGATTGAAATCAAGCCATTCCACACCATGGTATACCATAACTCTAAAAAGCATAAAAAAAGCGATCTTTATTACTGTAGTCATATACCCCATACTTAAGCACCCTTCAAAATAAGGCTTTCAGCCATGAATTGAATAATTTATGCAATAGGAGTCTATCTCAAAGCAGTCCGGTAAACTAGGGGCTGCAAACCCCTTTGGTGGCAAAAAACCCTGCCCTATTTTTGTTGTGTTTTGTGTTAAAAATAGGTACCCAAAGAGTACCATTACTTAGATACTTGAGAATGGTTAGTTTGAGTCTGAAAAACAAGTCAAAGGACAGAACCGATTTCATTAGTATCTCTGAGACACATAACAAACAACTTACTGGTTCTGAACCAAATGCTTTGCATCCTCCAACTCCACCTCACCACCTTTATTCCAATCCTCCCCTGGTTCGAACAACAGTTTTATCTCCTCTAATGTTTTCTCTTTTGTCTCAGGAACAAAACGGTACACAAACGCGACAGAGAAGGCTGAGATAGCTGAAAACATAAGGAATATACCAGCGACCGAGATGAACCGTGACGCAGACAAGAAGGACATCGACACGATCCCGCTACACACCCTGTTGCCCATTGCACCGAGCGCCGATGCCTGAGCACGTAGTCTCAATGGGAAGATCTCCGATGTTACCACCCAACAGATTGGGCCGATGCCCACCGAGAAGAAAGCCACATTTCCACACACTGCCAATATTGCCAGAGTGATTGCAATCTGGTTTTGCCCAGACCCATGTTTGAGGAATGTGAGAGTCATCCCCAAACCGAACAAACAAGCAGTCATCCCCATGGTGCTCACATATAACAGAGGCTTCCTGCCCACTCTATCAATCAAAAAAATTGCCACCAGAATGAAACTAGTCTTCGCAAAGCCCACTGCAATCGTGGCAGCGAGGATGGTTTTCTCACTCTTAAGACCCGCATCCATGAAGATGGTCGGGCTGTAATACACAATGGCATCTATGCCTGTAATCTGCTGGAAGCACTGGATCCCGATCCCCGATATTAGCATCCGGCGGACAACGGGTGAGGGACTAATAAGCTCCTGCCACACTCCTTTCTCCTGGTTCTGTATCTTAGCAGCCTCCTCTATCTCCGACAACCTTGCCTCGACCTCTGTTTCATCCTCTGTGATCTTGAGAAGCACAGACTGTGCTTCCTTGGTCCTGTTCATCATCACCAGCCATCTCGGTGACTCTGGGAGCACAAAGAGGGCAAACGCGACGAACACTGAAGGCAGGACCCCCACTACTAGCATGACTCTCCAGCCGATGTGGACAGGAAGACCCGAGAATGCATAATTTGAAACATAGCCAAGAAGGATCCCGAAATTGACAAGTATCTCGGGAATGGAAGTGAGTGTTCCTCTGCTCGCAGCTGGGGATATCTCAGCTATGTATATGAGTGCAATCACACCTCCGAATCCCACGCCTATGCCGGCTAGAATCCTTCCGGCCAGGAGTACTTTGAAAGAAGGGGCTATGGCCATGAGAACCACACCCAATTGGAAGACTATGCATGAGAGCCCCATGGTCCATTTCCTGCCTATCGCATCGGCAGTGTGACCGCCTCCGAGGCATCCCACAAGTGACACAATGCTTAAGCAACTGACGAAAACTTCTACCTGTACTTCTGTGATTTTGAGATCCTTCTGAATGAACAGGATAGCCCCACTCATGACCCCTCCATCTGCACATATATGACAAGATCAATTCAAATTCACCACAATTTCAGATGGATTTTTGAATAATCAATTGTAGTCCTCATAAATGCCAGGGCAAAGAAAACAAGCCCTCAGTAATTCTTCTTATTGCTTTTACTTCCTTAATGGAAAGAATTTGAAGATGCATGAGGTGCTGAGCCCTATCAGCGATGGAGAGTGGCAAGGGGATGAATATGACAGGATGCAAAGAAAAAACAGGGCACCCCAAGTTTTAAAAAGATGGTGGATGGAGAGAGAGAGAGAGAGAGAGAGAGAGAGAGAGAGAGACGTACAGTACGACGAG